GGGTTAATACTGTCAATATCTATGTTTGTGTGTTTTACATGAAACGGCTTAAATAAGGTGACTGTAGGGGAAGTACCCTGAGACTGAATTTAAGGGCAGAATAGATGAAACTTTGTTCACCAAACAAATACTGTTTTGGATGACATGGTTGTTAAATGCTAACAATAGCGGAGATGAGAAGAGCTGCAAATTTGGAACAGGGTTTAAATTTCTCTGACGCTGGGAGATGTGTGATTTGTCTTTCTGATATGCTAGCTTGTCTCCTGGCAAAAGCAGATTATACCTTTTCCCGCTATATGCACAAATTTTACATGGTGTAAAAATCCACTCCAGGTAGAAATACTTGGTTCTTCTATTTGCAGATAAGCTGTGTTTGAATGTGATATAGTTGAATTTATTTTAAAAGCCTTTAAATTTAGTGGAAAGCTAATTTTTAATGAATTAGAAACTGTTCTTTTAAAACCTGTATAGGTTCCTGTATTCACTTGTCTTTTAAAAAAAAAAATATTCACTGTTCTGTTTATTCCTGGTTTTTTTCCATCTTTTTTCTTTTTTTTCCTCTCCCTTCCGCCTTCTTAATTTTCTGTAGTGGTGTTTGTTCTTAAGCTACACAATGCTTCGTGAATTTCAGCATACTTTCATTAACCTAGAGCTCAGGTTTACTGCAAGTTAATGAATTCAGTATGTTGCACGTGCACTGAAGATTGAGTAACAATCAGCTTCTTGTCATGCCGGTGATAAGGCCATTGAAATAGGGTGAAGCAGACTTCCTGACTTTTACTTTCATTTCAGCTATTCTAACTCTTTCTATTCATGCATGTACAAAAATCTGCTTATCCTCCTGTTTTCAGGCAGATGTGTCATGAGTCAGAGATATTTGCGATCATAAAATCGGGCTGTTCTTACCTCTTGAGAAAACTGATTAATTTATTTGGGGATGGTTTTTAAAGTATCACTAATTTATTTCTAGAAACATTTTCATTACTACTGGTATATAAATTTAGTACTGTTGTGCTCAAGTTATACTTCAAATATTTTTGTCCAATGTGATTTGACAACTTGATTTAGAGAAGCATCTGTCAAGAACGTATTTTTATTATGTGAGTAATATTTCGTTGTTTCTGAATAGCTAATTTTTAGAGCAGACTTTAATGAATGTTAACTGAGAAGTACTTTTTGAAGGAATAGTAGCATAGTGGAAACCAACATACTTCTCAGATACTCATCTGTTAAATTTAAGTTACCAAAGTGACTATGAAAGACAGTAATCAATAACCGTTTTTTAAGCACGTAGAGTAAGGGATATGCTTATAGTCTTCATTTGAAGTAATTTGCAAGAAGTGAATGTTTAAGAGCATGATGCTTTCTGAACGTTTTGTAGCAGAATGTGGAAAAATACAATATTAAAAGTTTTGTTTTAAATAAAATATTAAACAGTGTAAATGCTTTAACTTTGTATAAATAAATCAGCATGTTTCGTAATGTTTTTTCTGTAGGGTGGAGAGCGTCCAAAAATAAGTCTTCAAGTTTCTCTCTATCTTCTTTCTCAAGTAAGTATTTTAAGTATTTTGTCCTATTTCAGGACATGTTTTGCAGTAGTGTTATGATTTATAAGTTACTATAGTTTTGTCTATTTTGGCAAAGCCATTAAAGACAATTTGGCAAATGAAGTTTTAAACCTATCAGTTTCTATTTAAAAAAAAAAAAAAGGCAGCAAGATCATTTGTCTTTTTACAGACAGACCAAACAGCTTCTTACTTCAGTTAATATCATTCTGCTGAGGATCCCATAGCACAGGGTAGCCTTTAGAGCATTCAGTGGTTATAATTTATGCACACCACCTGACAAATGGCGCATAGTAAAATGATGAAACATGCTAGGACAGAATTTAGTAAAATTGCAGGTGAAATTTAGATAGATGCTGTATTGCACTTTGAATCTGCCTAAGCTATGGAAGATTCCAGGTTTGAATTTTCCTCTTTGAAAAGTAGAGGGAGCAATGATCTCATGGGTTTTTTTTATTGTTTAAAAACAAACAAACAAACACATCAACAAAAAAAAACCCACCAAAAACAAACAAAAAAAAAGAAGAAAAAAACACCACCAACAAAAATTCAAACTTTCTCACAATTTGAATGTCATTATGCCTATACCTTAAATCCATAATTAAGTACTTGTTATTTCTTACTCTTACCAGTCCCACCTCCTTTTCTTTCTGGAACTTATTTTCAAATAAGAACTTCTCTGAAAAATGTGATTTTTCAGGATAATATAATTTGATGCTTCTTAATTTAAACCCAAAAAATTGTGATGTTGTGGGAATTATTTGCCACAGATAAAACCTTGGAAGCAACAGCGTCTTGTAACTAAAGGGATCTGCATCATGGGGTTGTATATGTTGACCTCTTTTAGGCTCTTTGATTTCAGCAGAAGTATTGGCTAAGTATTACTTCAAGATTTGCATCTATGTTCTTTATTGTTTTTAATAAAGAAAATTGAACTTTTTCCTAACCATAAAGAATTGGGAACAAATTTTGTGTATTAGAATGGGATGTGATGTAGAAAATCAAGCTACTCTTTCTGTAACTGGCAGAAATGCATCTTTTTCTACCTCTTTTTAACCTAGAGTCTGTCTTTGATGGAGTGGGATCTGAAAAAGTGTACACTGAGTATCTGAAAAACCTTCTTAACTATTTCTGTTATTGACACCAGACATGTATGCTTTAGGCATTACATATATTGAAGACAAGTGCTTGAGAGACTTGTACTAGCACTCATAAAGTGAACATGTAATGTACTTTTGCCAAAACATGCCTGTGTATAGTCGAGCTATGCTTTCTGAATTAGAAGAAGCTTGAGTGATTTGTGAGGTTGTTCAAAGTATTTTTGAATTGTTTTGTGACTTTCCAAAGTTCTACATAGGTCACCACCACATGCTAATAATCACTTCACTTTTGAAGGTCTGGAATGGTTCTGACTTTAATCAGAAAACCTGTGGAGATCATGTTTAGCTAACTGTTGTCAAAACCTTGATTAGGTTTACCAATTTAGAAATTATTTGGGGATATTTCAGCTAGAACCACTGTTTAGGCATCCACCTTTGATATTCCTGTGAAGAGAATGGATATAAGCTGACATAAGGCTATTCTGGCTGGACCTGAGCTGGTTCTTTCTAGAAGCCAATTGTTTGCTGGCCCAATCTTGTAAGCCTTGCCTCAAAATAGAGTGGTTGGTGTAAACAGAGAACTCTGTTAAAGCACTGAAGCACTTCTGGGTAAGTGCTTTAAAGTTATAGGCAATATGGCCTTACTCCTGTGTCATGTAGCTGCTTTTAGCTAGACCATAATTCATTGCTATTTCATAGCCAGAAAAGCAGCTTCTGATCTAGTTCAGCCTATTGCATGACATTTACTCGTGAATCACTGCAGAGTAATTGTGTGCAAAACACAGAACTTACTGGAGTCCTGCCAGTTGTTGGCATACAAGAAGTTCAGTGGATGCTGTGTACTATAATCAGTTTGCGTAGTTTCTCAAAAAAACAATTTTCTGGAGCAGTTTTAATTTGGTTTCCTTGCTAGGATGTCACACAACTTTCATCTGAAAGCTGATGAGGAGAGAGAGTTTACATTTCTCAGAAGGAGGGAAGAATATGAAGAATTATTAAAACTGGGTGGCTTAAAATATAGAGAAAGGTCAAATACCTGTAGAAAGGATTACGGTCTCCTGTGTTTTGAAGTAGATTTCATGAATTATCAGTGTAACCAATTGTACTTTACTGTATATGTAAACTTAAGATACCAGTTTAACAAGGTCAAAGTAGTATGTTCAGTGACTGAAATTGTGAAACTGTATGTGTTCTGTAATAAATGTCTGATATTTCTTTCCACCCTTCCTTTAATAGGTTTTTCTAATTATACATTACGCCCCTTTGGTGAACTCATTGGCTGAGGTTATACTTAATGGTGACCTCTCGGTGTTTTCTTCTAAAGTTGAGCAAGATATACAGAAGAACTCAGTAAGTGGCCAACTAATCTTTAATATTTTTTTTTTAGAGGCAAAGAAAATATTGGAAAAACAAACTGGTAAGCTAAGGTGATTGTGTTTAGGAGAGAAGAGCAGCAATAGGAGATTTCAGCTTTTGTTGTTGGATATGACAGCAGAAAAATGCTCTGTGCAACTTACAGTATTACGTTCTTGTCAAAGTTGCAATATTTTTGTGCATGCATATATATGTATTTGAGGTAGTGGTATAAGAATGTGTAGGACACAAATTAGAATACTTAGCTGCTTCAGCGGGGGTCAGACACTGCAAAGGCTTCCATCATTCTGATGGGACACTTTTGTAATGCAGTCTTTTGTGTTCAGTTTTTGTTATCAGCTCTTTGGTAGTGAGACAGAAATGAGTCATTACAACTTTCCTGTGAAATTATTTCCTTACGCAACTTGTAGTAGAAATGAGAGACTTAAAAAAAATACCTGGCCTTATGGTAAATCCTTTAGATATAGAAGGAAGTAAAGATTTTCATCTGAATATTCCCAATGTTTTAGCAGTAAAACTGATCATCTCTGAAAGTGTGCATCAGTGTGCATAAGAGAATATAGACCAGCCACAAATACATGGGAGTGCTATCACTTTGTCATTGCCCTTGTACCTTCAGATTTAATCCTGTGTAGATCTTGCTAGATGCTGTTTTTAGTGCTTTTCTAAGTGTGTCATGTATATGATTTTTTCCTTTTTGTTGTGGGTTTCACAGTTTGTGAAATGCTTGCTTGTTACTTTTTAAAGGTCTATTTGGGGATGGTAATAAGAAGGAGGTATGACCTTACTTTGGTTAAGAGGCTTCTGACTGTAGTTTTGTCTAAAGATTGGACATGTCCCTTAATGTCTGACTGGTCAGCAAATTGTTACTGACTGAATGTTTAATTTATAGCAAGCAATAGCTTGGTTCTTACGTATGTTCTTTCCCAGCAGTGGCTATAGCTCTGAGAGTTTCAAGGGGGAGGTATGCTTCAACTCTTCCATGATACAAGTCAACTTTTCCAAATCTCTTCCTACTGTGCAGTGGAAGCTGTGTGGACTAGCTTGATCTTAGCCAGTAGCTTTTGGGTTCTGGTATTTTGTACTATTGACCTTGATATTTAGAATCTAATCTTTTTTAGAAAAAAACTACAGTGGAATGGTAGAGCTGACTGAATGCTTTAAGAACAAGCAATCTCTTACTTGTGTTAGCAAATGTCTGACCTTCTGCTAGCTGCATACTGAATGTCGTGTGTGTTACTTGTGCAGAAGCAGGTTTGTTACTAGGAAATTTGTGGCGAGAGGGTGGGGCACCAGTTGTTGCAGAATTGAGATTTTCTTTTCATGTTGTAGTTACTGTACAGAGTTGCACAATATCTGTAGCATATGTTTGTGTGCTTGCCCTAGTGTTAGGAATATTAGGGGGTTACTATAAACTTCTGTTCATCTATTCTCTTATGTTTGTAATACTATTTAGGTTGCTGCTTCTTACTGGTCTTAAAGATGTGTCCTCATGGCATGTAAACTGGGAGTTCTGTCATACCTGAACAGGTAGTAAATAGGAAATAGGAGGAGTATTGGCTTTCTAGGATAGACAGCGGAACTGCTAGAGGTGGAGCTTTGTTACAGGGAGAGCAGAGTGGTGGCACTTTTGGTGGATGAGGAAAAAACTTCCGTGGGAGAAACTTTAGTTTTTAGTAAATTCAACCATATTCTTCAATGAAACCTTGGAGGGGAAAACCTGTACTGTCAGAAAACCTATTGGTGCAGGTTGGTTATTTGCACAAAGAGCGGGGAGTAATCTTCAGTGGAAGAGCTCCATGCCCTACTTCCAGTGAGGGGAGCTGTGAAGTGAGCTGCTCTCAGTTGATGAGTATGAACAACTACTGCATATATTGCATGGTGTTTTCTGCTGATACACAACTCAATGCAGTGAGACTAAAGTCAGCTGTAGATATGGAGGCATAGCCTTAAGTAAAGGTGAGGCAGTTTCCTGTTGCTCTGTGACAGGACTTCTGAGAGCCGAAAGTTGATTTTTGAGCATTGTTAGCTGTTTCAGGGGCTGTTCTTTCGACTATAAAGTGTATCAGGATCATTGCAAAGTTATTACAGTGGTGTATTCTGTTGCAAAGAAATGACAAACTTCTATTGAATAATGGCAGATATTTCAGAAGCTACTTTAGAATTGCTTGTTCTGGGTCTAGTAGAGAAAAGTGATGAGCAAGTTTTTAAATTTACCTTTTGACTGAGTTTAGGATTGTGTTTGTTCTTAAGTCAGACCCAAATTTATCTTTTACTACTTCCTTTCTCTTATAGTTTCCCATGGTAATCATTCTGATACTCTCCTAAGTTTGTTGTTTTGGCGATATCTCTGTGTGTTATGGTGAGCCCCAGTTATCTCTAAACCCCTGCTCTGTACCTAACACTGTTCATCTCTTGTAACTGAGATGTCTTGATATATTTAAAGTGAAGTGTAACTAACATGAAGTAAAGTTCTAAAACCTGAAGTAGAACCTCATGTGTATATTCATCTTCCTAATAAGACGAATTAAAGTGGAATGAGGTGTAGAGAGTTCTGAGATTACCAGAAGCAGGGTCATGTGTCCTCATGATAGGAGACTAAATGAGTAAAGAATACTTTAAAAAAAAAAAAAAAAAAAAAAAAAAAAAAAAAAAAGCTGAGAAGTTATCCAGAGTTATTTAGGGCAAAAAAGCAATGGTAGTTGTCACAACAGGAATAAACGGTACTTTTTACTGGAAACCAATTTGTGGAAAAAATCACCAGCAGATCTAACTGCTGATACTTACGAATTGGTGATAACCTACTCATGGAGATCTGCTGAACATCATAGGGCAGTAATGATTGCCCAACCCATTAAACAGGTTCTCCACTCAAAGTATAGCAGATTAAGATACACTTTTCTTTCCATATCTTTTCCCTGTATTTCTGGTTTTAGGTGGCATCAGAAGAAATAGTAATTCTTATCTCATGATGAGTGTTGAATATGTGTAGCCAACAGAGTGTATTTAAACTTGTTAGCAGTCATCACACTAAGGTTTACCTTACTTCCTGTGAGATCTGTTTTCCTGCATAATTCGGATGTGGGCCAGTTCTACCTATGTCATGTTTCTTGGTTTCTTGTTTAACCTACTTTCTCCTTCCCATAAAAGTTACTGGTACTGCCTTATTTTGCTAGCGCACATTACACAAGATAAACCATAATTGAAAATATGGTTGAAAGACATTTTAAAAGTATAAACCAGCAGTATCTCAAACTGTATAATCAACTTAGATAAACCATATACTATGTAAATTAATTTTAAGTCTGATTTTAGAATGTTTTAAATATATAGCCTTATTATATTTAGCAGAACAGAATATATATGTTGACTTTTTCTCAGCATTCTTTCTTGAAATGGACCAGACCATGGTTCAGTGCTTATGAGCACATCACTGTCTACTGGTCCCTTGGGTTATTTTGCTCATATGGCTAACAGCATATTAGAAATGCAAGGATGTTAAGCACATGCATTCTTCATAAAAAAAAGTAGCTACAGGATTCTAGTAAGCAATTGTAAGAAGTGAATGCAGGAAGGGGAAAATGCGTTATGCAACTTGCATGCTACTTTTCCTTTTTTCCCTAAAAAACAGGACTTAATGTGTTCTTCCCTTTTCTTATGACTTTTCTGACCAGAAGCCATCAATAGAAGATAATCTTGTTGTTTTATAACCTTCCTATGTTGCAGTTTGATCAGACTAGAAGCATATCAGAGAGATTACTGGGGGACAGAAGTGTGGTAAATTTCACATTGTGGGTTTTTTTGGTATTGTGAAAGATTCCTCCCACTATGTGGTTTGTTTCAGAGCCAAGTGTAAGGTGACTTTCGCAAGATTTCTATAAAACCTTTTTAAAAAAAGTCAGAAGATTCAGAGAAGCATTTTGGCCTTTTGAATTGTAGAAGGCTTCTTCCCAGATCTTTTCCTAATCTTTTAGTTTTTATGTATAGGTGTTCCTTATTAAATGAAGGGAGGGATTTTTCCAAACTTTTCCTCTGAGGTCTCTTTGATACACTCATCTTCAACGCTTATTGTACTTGAGTCACCTAAGGCAAGGAATGGAATCAATTTTGTATTTACTCTAGTCTGTCTTCTTTTCTCTTGCTTGCCCTTAAATTTTTAACCCTTTAGCCAGCGTCAGCTAAATGTGATTGAAGTATTGAGGTCTGAAAGGTAATGAAGTTTCTGTAGCAGTCTTGTTCAGCATAAACCTATGCTGGCAGGAAGCCCCCAAACCATGTGTTTCACTTCTCAGTAACAGAGGGATTTGGCTGATCAATGTTTATAGCTCTGGGTGAGAGGGAGCATGTACTCTAGTAATCCAGCTGGCAGGCCTAACAAGTGAGAAGGGAGCTCAAAGCATCACAGCTCAGAAACAATCTGCAAAGTTATAGGAAACCATGTTTTCTTAGTCCTGCTAGTCGCAGAACTTCTTGTAGTGTCTTGTGTCGTTCTATAAGAATACCTTGTTCTCTGTTGTTAGGATGGCACAGACTCCTGGAAATACTTATGTCCTCTGGGAGAAATTTGTCATCTAAATTTATCTTCTTGCTCTGTAAATTAATAATCAGGAAAATCAGGTATTGATTGAATACTCTTTGCCTTCTTGTCCAAAAGCAGTGTTTTGACTTGAAAGATACACTTCTGATATCTTTGGGTAGAGCACAAGTATATTAAAGTCTAACAAATGAAGTGGTGTTGGTTTTCCGGACTTGGTAAGTCAATGTCTGGAGGCCCAAAAAAGGTTGATGTCAGTGCCATTTGTTCCTAATTCATACACGGACTAGTATGCTGTTGAGGGAAGCTTAAGATTCAAAAAAAGCTTACGGCATAGGGCGTTGGCTTTTGCCCTTGCTACTGCCAAAGACATTTAAAGAGTGTATTTCATATTAATACATTGCTGTCAACACACACTTTGGATTTTGCTGCCTTTATCCTTTTTGCAAAAGGTGTCTTAGTTTTGTATGTACTAGCTGTCTCACCTGTTAGGAAAGTTCAAAGACGGGAGAAAAATTAATAAACTTCTGTGGTTGAAATAGGTAGTTCTATATCTTCTTGTGTCAAGATGTCATACATTTTAATGATAGATCTTTAGGATATGTTACTTTGGAGATAATTGTTCTACTGATGATTTGATACAACTTGAGGTCTGCTTTCTTGTATTTTAAAATGGATTTGAGATTTGTAAGTGATATGCTATTTTACATTCTAAACCCACTCTTTTGTATGAACTGAAGTTTCTTTATCAATTAGAGTTAAAAATGTCTTGCTGTAACTCAGTGTAAACTCTTCAAATTTACAGGCAAAGTCAAGTATCAGATGTTTCATAAAACCAACAGAAACACTTGAGAGGTCTCTTGAAATTAACAAACAGAAGGGGAAGAAGAGGGTGCAGAAAAGACCCAACTATAAAAATGTTGGGGAAGAAGATGAAGAGGAGAGAGGATCTGAAGATAACCAAGATGACCTAGATAAAACTAAAGGTACAGATGCGAGTTCAAAGGGCATCAGAACAAGCAGTGAAAATGAAGGTGAGTATACCAGCAAATAAAAATGATGCTTACAATTTGGATACTTTTATTTCCTTTATAGACCTGGCTGTGATCTGTTACATGACTTGTTCTCTTGTTGCACTAGGTAAACATGGGACTATTAAGTTTGTTTCAGTCTTTGGCTGTATTCTTTTCTCATGTTAAATCATTCTGTCAGAACATACACTTCTAATCTGATTAAAAACTGTGAAAGTGTTTTCATATCTTCCTGTAGTCTTCCGCCCTTTTCACAAATGCATGCCTTGCACCTAGGTGTACATGATTATGGGGCACTTTATAAGTAGACTTCACAACTTTGTAACTTTTCCTTCTGTGGTAAGGCAAATGGTGCAGCCACTTTACCTTTGTGAGATGGTCGGGAGTATTTTATGCATGTTTCAATGATAAAATTCAACAAGTGTGCTAAAAGTGACGGTACATAGTAGACGACGATATTAAAAAGTTCAAAACTGAAGAAAACATCTTTAACTTTTAGATTTTTTTAATTGCATGTTTTCAGGATTTTTGGTGTAATGCTAACCTTAAGAATTGGTTTTATAGATTGAGTGGTCTTACAGCATATCGTAACTGTTTATTTTACTAGTTAGTAACTGTTAGAAGGATGTATGTGAGAAACTACTTCACACATAAATTGAGAAAAACGTGGCAGAATTGCATGCAAGCAATTGAAAACAAGACTTTTATGCTTTATGCCATCTCCAAACATAGTTGCGTTTTGATTTAGGTAAACAGTCTGTTTGAGAAGGCTTGCCTTAAATGGTGTCAATTAACTGATGATGTATTGCCTACCATGATTTGAAGAAAATATGACATGATCTACTGTTTAAACTGGTGCATTTAGTAGTCATCTTTGTCTAAATTCTTAAGCAAAAGCTAGATTTGGTCCTAACACTTCTACTTAAAGCCGATAGGTATGAAGCACTCAGGACCAGGTATCCTGTTTGCTGCAATTGTAGAGACCTATTTACACCCTGTATGAAACCTGATGTCCACCCATGCCCCAATCTCACCAGCATTTTCACAAAGAAATTTTTTTTCCAGAAGGAGGTTCTATGCTTTTTCTTCTGTGTTTTGGAGGGGAGGGGGATTACTGTTGCTTGTTTATTTGCCAAAATAATCTGTATCTTTTCTTTACATATATTATGTATATGTATCATTTTCTTATAGCAGTTAAATTCCTTGAAGAAATGTAAGCAAACTTTATTTTATTGGGAAGAAAATTTGCCTACATCTATTCATTCATTAACCTTTCTGAGGTTATGGTTATACCTCTTACATATAGTTGCATCGGTCACTTTTAATGCGAAACAGAAAATATAAAAGAGCTTGCGATAACTCTTTGTTAAAAATAACAAATTTTGGGGGTTTTTGTTGTTGTTGGATTTTTTTTTTCTTTTTTTTTTTTTTTAGAAATAGAGATGGTAATCATGGAGAGATGTAAACTGTCAGAATTGTCTATCTCTACTGTGACAGAACAGAATACAACAGATGAAGAAAAGAGTGCAGCTGCCTCTGGGAGTGAGATAACAAACTGGAACAGGTATAAAGGAACTGTAATGTATTTTGCTGGATTGCTTCCTTACTTGCCCTCCTCTTAACTTTCTCACTTCTCTTAAGCGATGTTTCAAATCTGCCTCCAACTAAAATTACAGGGGTTCTTGTGGATCACAAATAAGTGAGGCAACAGAAAAATGGGATGTGGCCCCTCTACTGATCAGTTTTGGAAATGGTCCTGTTGCTTTGTAAAGTTTGTGCTTTCCTTTATGGCAAGTGTGATGCCTTAAGTTGGCAAAGTTAAATTACAAAATATTAACACAGTAAAACCAGAATATAAATGTTTTCATTCCAGAATTTTCTAAACCTCTAAATTAAGCCAGAAGTTGTTTTCTTAATTATATTTATGGTCACATCTGTCAATTTTGTATACACCTATAAGGAAAAAAGAAGGAAAATTCCTTAGTTCAGGGCTAAATTTTGCAGAATTTTAGTAGTAGTAGTTACGATAAACCTTACTAACCTATGTACGGTTTCCAAGGTCCATTAGTATATCTTAGGGTTATTGAAAACATCTCTTGGAAATGCAGTTTTTAAGTGTTTCTGGGAGCAGAAATTTTCCTGACTTCAAAATTTAAACTTGGATATATTAAATACCCATAAGACATTTTCTCAGTAAGAATTTTGCATTCTTGTTATTAGAATGCTAAAGAAAAGAAACTGAACATGCCATCTCTGACACAGAAGTAATTGCAAATGTGTCCCTTGGGGAAATGCACACGTTTAATAGGATTTCAAATTTATTTTTAAACTTGGGAAATGCTGCCCTGTATTCCCAGAACTTCATTCTGTCTCCGTTATAGATTTGACGTATCTTAGATTACATTCATTAATAAAGGTAACATTTAATTTCATTGTAAAATTGAAATTGAACCTTGACTTGAACTGGCTTTAAAATACGTTGTTCTAGATTATTGATATTTTGACTAAAATATGTGCCAAATGGCTTTTAGAAAGAAATTGGCAATGACTGCATTGAATACTAAAGCAACTAGGATGCTCAGGTCTTGAAGGGTGCAAAATACTTACATGTGAGATGCCAATGGATCTGGCAAATGCCTGCATTGCAGGACTGTCTTGATCTGCAGATATGATCTGACAGCATCCTGCATCTTTTCTAAAAATAAACAGCATCAAAGAACGTGCAGAGCTAAAAATATTTTTGAAATAAGGATAGACGTTGTGTAGGGCATTTCTGGCCTTAGTTTTGTACGTGAATTTTTGGAAATGTAGGTGGATAAGTTACTATAGCTTAAGATTTTGTGTTATTCCATATGCCAAATGTAATATTTCAAACAGTAGCTAAATCTCTGAAGAAATTTGCTCAAGTGTTGTTGTGGTTTAACCTCAGCTGGCAACTAAGTCCCACACAGCCGCTCGCTCACTCCCCCCTGGTGGGATGGGGGAGAGAATCAGAAGGGTAAAAGTGAGAAAACTCGTGGGCTGAGATAAAGACAGTTTAATAGGTAAAGCAAAAGCCACACACGCAAGCAGAGCAAAACAAGGAATTCATTCACTCCTTCCCATCGGCAGGCAGGTGTTCAGCCATCTCCAGGAAAGCAGGGCTCCATCACGCGTAATGGTTACTTGGGAAGACAAACGCCATCACTCTGAATGTCCCCCCTTCTTCTTCTTCCCCCAGCTTTATATGCTGAGCATGACGTCATATGGTATGGGATACCCCTTTGGTCAGTTGGGGTCAGCTGTCCCAGCTGTGTCCCCTCCCAACTTCTCGTGCCCCCCCAGCCTCCTCGCTGGTGGGGTGGGGTGAGGAGCAGCAAAGGCCTTGACTCTGTGGACGCA